TTTATTTTTCAGTAATTATTTATCGTCAGCCCATCTCTCACCCTCACGTTGTTACCTGAGCCCCCGGCTTGGTGCTGAAGGGCACCTATCCATGTCACAGGAAAAAGGGGAAATTTGCAAAGCGCCAATCCAAAAAATAACTGGAAGCTGCTGAACAGTTACAGTTGGCTTTGCCGAGTTTATTGTACACCATGGTTTTCAATAAGAAAGCCCCCCTGATTTCCCCGTCCTCTGGAGTGCCAGTGTCCCTCTGGTGCTGTCACCTCTCCAAAATTCATATTGGAGAAGCCACAGTCAGGCAGAGCCATCTCCAGCCCTGCATTCACATCTCCAGCTGGAGAATGAAAACAGAACGCCCGCCTTTCATTTCCAGATAAAAACTTCAATCCCTTTGAAAGGAAGTTGCCAAATGAGCGTTTAAATTCCAGGGCCCCAATAAAATCTGAATAGCGCGGGAATAATTGAAATGAAGGAGAAGTGATACATCAATAGACAAAATTGCAGAGAGCAGTGAAATGCTTAAGCATAATTAGGATGGCAATCAGAGTACAATTAGTGCGAGATCATCACAGTAATTACGCTTCGTTAGAACTTCTGGCCAAGAACAGACACATGAAAGCTCAGCTGGAGCTGGAGGCTCTGGCTGGGGACATGCCTTGGCCTTGGGGAAATCGGGAGCTTTTGGGGTTCCTAGACTGGGTTTGGTGATCCAGCAGCATTCCTGATGTTTCCAACACCTGCAGCCTCCAGCTCAGCTTCATGGATTTAAACTCAGAGTGAAAAACTCTGTGGAATGGATGTAGTGGCACCCGGCTGTCCCCAAATCAGCCTGGCTCAGATGTGTGTTCATCTAAATACCCAGCTCAACAAAGTATGGAGAACACTGGCTTGAGTCGGAGCTTTCCCACTCCAGGAATGCCCAGCAGAGGATTTGGGAGCCCTTTATTACTGCATTCCCCTATAGAGCACTTGTCATGAAGACTGTTCTCCCCCCTTCTTCTGTTTACTGAAAGCGAAGATGTGTTTTGGAGGTCTCCCTCACACCTTCACAAGGGCCCACAGGTGAAATCTGGCTCTGCTTTCAGAAATATTGTGCTCGCTAAAAGAACACCTAAAACAGTGCAAAACTTCCAGGTGCTTCCAGCACTGTCTGAAATCCTGAGCCCACTGGAAGTCTTATTCCCAAACTGAAAAAATGGGAAGCCTTATTCCAGTTTTGAGGATTTGGTGGAAAGGGGCTGATGGTCCCTGACCCATTGGGCTGCAGTTTGTCTCCTGGGCAGCCCTGGGAGGTTTTGATTCACTATGAACCTCAGGGTGGGGCTTAAGGGTGTTATATTGCAGGAGGGTGCAACATCCTGCAATTTATTTAATGAAAAATAAGGAAATAAGGAGCCTTAGCCTGGTCTCCCAATGTATTTCCCACTTTGTTCTGTGTCTCAGTGCTCACCGCAGCCCCTGGGCTTGCAACTGACTCAAGAATAATCTCCATCCTCCCATCCCTGATAAGGAATGTGGTCCCTTCCCTGAAAGCCTACAAAGAGGAGTGTTTTATTTGTGTTCTCCCTGCAGTACTTCACACTTCTTTTAGATTGTTTTAATTTAATTTTGATATAATCTGATAAGAGCTGTAAAACTGTCAAAGGAAGCTGCCTCCTTCTGTCGCATTAAGTACACTTTGAACGAAATGGTGGCTTTGTCCCCAGTGCTGCCAAACCAAAGCATCTCTTGATTCCAGTGCAGGGATTGATGTGCACTAATCTGAACAGCTTTACACTCTTTTTCATTTAGGGAGGCAGCCACGTGTCCTCTAGCATCCCCCTTTCCTCTGGGAAGTAACCATATCCCAGAACATGTGGGCTTGGCCTCACGGAGCTGAGCACTTGGCCACAGGCCTCTCACCTACCAGAGACCCCTGGCAGGCTTTCCCAGTTTTCCAGGGCAATGGATCCATGTGCTGTGCATGCCTGCTGCAGGAATGGGAAGCCCCTGGCTCCCAGAAAAGTGGGAAACTCCTTCAGAGCAGGAATTGTTGGTGTTCGTTGCAGGGTGTCATGGCACATGCAGCAAGTGGGGTAGGGGGGACACAAATTGCCCTGGAAAGGGATTTGCAGAAACACAGAGATGTGTTATGAAGAGGTTTTCCCTCTCTGTGTCTGGGTGACCCCTGAGATCCCTCGCCCACAAGCCAGGGCAGAGCCAAATGCATTTGCTTTTTTTTTTGTCAATGAGACACATAACACAGGCCCCGGTAGCTGTGTGAAAACATACAGAATTTACATAATGCCCAACACCAGTCCTTTTTGTTAATGACTCAAGTCCCAAATGCAGAGCACTAATAACACACCAGGAACCAAAGAGCAGTAACAGCAGTGAGTGATCTCAGCAGAGCAATTGTGAGGATCCATTTCCTGTCAGCGGCAATGCCTGGGAGCGGTAATTAGCGCGTTGAATTTAATGTTCACATTTTAATACATTTAAATGTAATAAAATGCTTTTATTAAGTGGTATACAGTTCCTCCAAACTTGTTATTACTCATGTCTGATGCACAAGCAGCGCACACCACGTCTGGCCTCAGCTCTGCTGCCTCAGGGAAGGTGACAGAGTTCTTCCAGCAGGAACCTGGAACGCAGAACACAACGGCTGAGTACACAAAAACCTGGAGACCGCAGCAGTTACAAGCATGTCATGTTTATTACAAATGTAAGGGCCTTAGCCAAAAGTGACATAATTGAAAAGCCCCTAGGCATGTCACTGTCTGTGGATTTTTAATTAATCCTGGAGAACTGAGATATAAGCACATACCACTGATATTAATGAGCCCCAGAAAAGCCATGGCACAGGGAAGGGCCTGGTTTAGAGACCATTTTACAGGATGTCCCCTTCCTTCTCCAGCCATCTCCAAGTGCTTTTCCAGTGTCCAGTGCAGCATAGAAGGCTCCACAAACGGAAGGGAGCAGGTGTGGCATGAATGAGGCTGTTCCAAGGCCAAGCATCCAGAGAGGATGTCAGGGAGATTTCGGGTCTCAGTCACTCGTGTGACCAGGCTGCAAACACGAGGAGCCTCCATTCAAGTGTCTGCCGCTGTCTGAAGAGGAAAGAAGAGATTGACAGTGTTGAGTTTCCTCATCCCTGGAAAAATGAGAACTGAATTCAGGCTTTCTGAGATGTGAGCCCAGAGGCTGAGTTCAAACCTGACCATGCACAGCCGAAGGGTTCCACCCTCATCTTCCCTGAAAGCATCTACACCTCACACTTGTGAGCGCCCTGTGCCACGGCTCCTTCAACTTGTGTTCCCCAAGCTGAACCAGTTCTGGTGTATTTCTGTTCAGGAGAGGGTATTTTGGCTCATTTTGGAGCATGTCCTTCAGGCCTGCAGTGAACAGACTGAAGCAAGCAGCAGAAATGGCTCACAACACACAGCCAAACCCAGTGCCACAAGTGCCCCTTGGGGTCCCATGACTGGGGGGACCAGGGTCCTGCTCAGAGGTCCTGAGGGGACAGAACCCAGCACAAGGCAAAGCCTGCCACAGGCACCACGAGCTCCCCTCCTCACAGATGTGGGATGGAGACCATCCCTCTGGGGGCTCTCAGGATTCCCTGCGCCCGACTGTCCTGCTGCAGTGAGGAAAAGGGGACACTGCAGTGAGGAAAAGGGGACATGTACCCACACCTATTCCCAGCACACAAGGTCCTACCTTGCCTTCGGCGTGCCGTCCCCGGCACCAAGCCATGTTTTTGCCAGGATCCTCTTTCAGGAGAACAGCACCTTCACCACCAAGCTGTGTTCCCTCTGCTGTCCACTCTGCAGCTCCTGCCAGTGGGGCCACGGCTTGGCCAGGCCACTCCATCCTGCTCAATCTCAGTGCTTGCCACTGCTGCTGCTGCTTTAAAGGACACAGATCTATCAGGCAATTTCATTAGTGTTTTAACAAATTACTGGATTGATCTCATGTACAGACAGAAAGACTGAAAAAGTTTAGCTTCTACAAGCCATGAAAAATCAAAGGGAAAATATAAAATAACTGGGGAATTCTTTTAACTGAATTAGACGTTTTCCTGTCAGTCCCACAGTTCAGAGCCCTTGGTTTTGAAGAGATGCTGCCTGCATTGACAGGGATGAAGCGTTTGGACAAGGTGAAAAGCCCGGAGGATCCCAGCACCAGGCTCAAAGGGATGTGTCTGGCCCATTGTCTCGTGTGATTAATGGAGCCTTTGCACAGAGAGATAATGCAATGTTTGCTGTGCCGGGGACGCCGCTGCACAGCGCAAATATCTCCACTATGAGGAATATTCAAAATTATAACAACAGCAACGAGCCCATCTATGTATGATTGGATTCCACCCAAAACCACCTCAAATGATATTTGTTTTTTTCCTAATTGTCAGCCACTTTGATGCACTCGTGGTCAGGTTCAACAAGTGCTCCAGGCTCCAAGAGTTTGAAACAAAGGGAGGCACTTGGGTGAGCCATGTGGTGTGTGGGGCCAGGATCCGGGCGCGGCTCTTGGGACAGACACACAGACAAACACGGGGTCCCTGGAGGATCCCTGCCCTCCTCACAGCCCAGCATTCAAACATGCCCACCACCACGTCTATGTCTCAGCAGGAACACCTGCGGGTCAGCAGGTGGAAAAATAAAAGCAAGCGGATCAGCAGGAGGAGAAAAAGCGTGGAGCTCTGAGCTCGCGCTGTAGGGAGCCCCAACCTCCTGCCTGGGCACAGCTTTATTGCTGCCTCTGTTCCAGTCTCACTTCTGCCAGAGGTCTGGAGCTGAATGCCCAGACCTGGGAGTGCTTTGAGGAAGCGCTGCCTGTGCAGCCAGCCCAGCTCCCACCTGGGGTGAGTCCTGCACCCTGCTTCTCCCAATTCTCCAGTGCAGTGATATCCAAGTTTGAATGGACATGGTATTTTTCACTTCCCACCCCAAACCACCATGCTGGTTTGCTGTGACTGATTAGGCATTTTCCCCCTGTCCTGTGCAGAAGATTGTTCTGGTGGTGAATGAAAGGATCCACACATATCAACTGTTCATTTGTTTGTAAAAAGCAGAAGAACAAGCACGGGACTATTCAATTAATTAAGCTGTGTCTGCTCGGAGCTCAGCACCCCTGGGCCCTGCACTCCATTCAGAACACGCCAAACAGAAATAGGAACCTGAGGCTGAAGCTGACAAAAGGGCTTGAGCAGAGATGGAAAAATCCTCCAACAGAGCATTTTGACAGTGCTTAAAACCGCGTTCTAACATACCTGCGAGGCAGCATGGGGGGGACACACAGGTAAGCAAAGGCTGGGGCTCACTTCCAGGCTTCAGGTTCCAAATGCTTTGCTCGTTTGCAGACACACAAACCCCATCAGCCTCTCCTGGCGGCCCGGGGGGTGACCTGTGCTCTGTTCTCATCGGGACCTGACCCGAGAGAGGCGCCTGACCCCGAGCATTCTCCTCCTGCCGCTCCCCGTGTTCAGCGTCCCCGCTAGTTCAGCACAGCCACCTCCCGCTGTTACGGCTCCGGGACAAACCCTGGCCCCCGACAGCACAGAGCTGCCCCAGCTGGGACATCCTGAGCGCCCCAGCCCGGAGTTTCGCTCCCTCAATACTCGCATTATTTATTTTGCAGGAGGAGCGCGTTTGTTCTCTATGCCCGAAGCGCCGGGGACGCGCTGTCCGCTCGGGCGAAAGGCTGACAAAGAGAGGCGGAAAGGGGGAAATCCCCGTCTCTGTACCCGCAGCTCCGGGCGGAACCCCGGTGGCGCGGGGAGCGCCCCGATGGAATTTGGGGAGCAGCTGCGGGGCCGCCGCTCGCCTTGGGCTGCCGCACCCGGAGCGTTCGGTCCCCGCTGCCGCTGCGGCCACGGAGCGAGCCCGGCCCCGGCGACCCCCGCCCAGGTAAGTGCCGCCGGTTCGCTCCCGTCTCCCCCTCACCGCCTTCCGTCCCTTTGGATTTTTTTTCCCTCAAAGCCATTGAATTCCGGCGATTTTACCATCGGGCAGCGCCGCGGAGAGCGGGGGCCGCCGCTCCAATCGCTAGCCGGGGATCCAGAGAGAAACCGCCTCTGGTCCGGCCGCGCTTCCAGCGGCTCCGGGCAAACGGGACCGACCGCAGGGGCAGTGACCGCAGGCACCGGTGACCGCAAGCAGCGGCTGACCGAGCGCGGCGGGGTTGAACCGGTGCCGCGGGAGGTCGCCCCGGACCCGGCAGCCTGTGCTGGGGTGAAGCGATACAGAAGGGTCCGCTCGGAGGGCCGCTGCCCGCCGGGGCACGGAAGGGCCCGGGTTCCCGCTCCCTGTCCCCCCGTCGGTCCCTTCTTACCTGGGTTCCGGGCTCGGCTCCGCCGCCGGTGCTGCCGCTCCCGCCGAGGCACGGACAGGCAGCAGCCACAAGGAATTTGGGGTCTTGCCGAAACCCTGCCGCCCTTCCCGAGGGGGGTCAGCGCCGGGGATGCCTCCCCCCGGCCCCGGGATCCCCCCGGTCCTCCCCCCGTATCGATTCCAGTCCGGCGCTGGCAGCGTTTAGGCCGGGATTGGGGGATAATAGGAATATCATCTGGAGACAATTACCTTTGGAGCGCGCTCGCTTCTCCTCCCAGACACTGTTATTTGAGCAATAGGATCATTTGATTTCATATCGCACTAAATAACCCCCGGCCGCCGCAAATTGCCGCCTTCTCAACAGCCACCCCTTGGAATAAATTGCACAGCGACTCCTTGGGCTCCAGCTTCTTCTTATTTTTTTTTTTCCCCTTATTTCCCCCCTCCTTTTTCTCCTCTGCAGAACGGTATTTCGGGAGAAGCAGGGACAGAGGCCCGATGCTGGTGGATAAACTGCGTCCAGCAAAGCTCCAGCTCCCTTAATAAACTAAGCAGCCAAGCCCTACCCGCACTGTTTTTCCTCATGTTTTTCTCCCCCTCCCTCGTCTATTTTTTTTTTCTTTCTTTCCTCCTTTCTTTTTTTTTTCTTTTTCTTCTCCCCCTTTCAAGCAGTTTTTCCCCTGCCAGGTCCCACTGACTGCAGGGCTCGATGTGCCTTTAAGGCTCTGTCAGCGCTCGCCTGATAATCTGGTCATCGCCGGCCTCATTAGATCTGTATTAATGTCAGCCACGGATTGCTAATTAGATTTGCGGGATAAATGAAATTACCCGAGTGGGCGGCGTGGGAGGGGGAGTGCAGTCTCCCAGCGCTTCCCAGGATTTACGGGGGGGAAAAAAAATAAAAAAGGAAAAATAGAAGGGAAAGATAGAATTTTATTTTCCATTCTTTTCTCCTTCCTTTCCCCTCCTGAGCCCCATCCCCTCCTCAGGCTCCCCTCTGACAGCCACTAACCAGAGAATTCCCCAAACTGCTCCGTAGCTGGACCTGGGGGTTCTGCTAACGGAGCCCATCAGTGCCGCATCGGGTGCTCCGTGCCAAGGGATCCTGCTCGCCTTGGATTCATGGATCCCAGGGAGCAGCACTGCACTGCTGGGGTCTCACAGGGGTCGAGGGAGAGACTGATGGCATTATTCATCCTGTTTATTTATCCTTATTAGAAAATGGGATGAAAGAACAGGCCCCGGCGCCTGCCTTTAAGCACCGGCTGAGCAGCGCACACACAGCCCCAATTAAACACTGTCCGGACGAGGCCTCTCTCCATATTGGAAACCCAGCTCTGTTTAACGAGGACCAATTAAATCCTGCTTCATTTTACCTGCGATCTCACAACAAATTCCTTTTCTTCTTCCCTGGTAATTACAGGCAGAATCAGCCCCGCTGTCGGGGCAGGAAGCCCTCCCTGATAACCCACCTGCACCCCGGCTGGATTCCAGCAGAGCCAGGGGCCCCTTCCTGCCCCCAGCCCCACCAAAACCCGGCTGGGACCAGCCCGGGCCTCCAGCCCTCTCCCACTTCAGCCCACCACGATGCTGGCAGAGTGGGGCCCCTCCTGGGGAAGCATGTGGAGCTATTCCAGCCTGGCTCTTGCCTACATTCCCAGGCCTCCCCCGAGCACCCCACAATGTTAAAAACTGCACCCTGTCTCCCAGGGGACATCGCTGCAACCGGGACATTCAATTAAATAATCCTGGCCCTTTGCACCACAAATAAATGGCTTTTTTTCTTCCCACAAATATTTCCTTTCCCAAGTTCCCTTTCAAAAGGGAAAAAAAACCAACAACAACAAAGAAACAAACCCCCAAACTGGAGAACAACAGGAAAAAAAGGAGAGGGGGGGAAAGAAAAGAAAGAAACTGTTCTCCTTTCTTTTCCCTGTGTGCAGGGTAATTGATAGGCTCTATCAGAGGTCAGGATTTGCATAAGAATTAAGAGCAGTAAATTAATTTAATATTCCATGCACATCTCCAATTATTCCTGCAGACCTTTGTCTCCCCGGCTGGCAGAGAGAAGGTTCAGCTGCTCTTCAACCAAACAACATCTGTGCAGTTAATAATTTGATAAACAGCTCATACAAATAGTTTCTGAATTATCTGCCAAACCAATGACTATTCAGTTTGGAAACACTCGGCGAGGGCTGTGCCGGCGGCTCCGGAGCCCCAGCCCGGGGATTTGGCTGCACGGACAGAGATTCGCCCTGCGTATCCCTAAAATATCAGCAGCCCTCTGCAACAAAATCCCATCAAGAACGATATGTGAAATAAGTTTTTAGCAGTAATTAATAAGAGCCCACGCTGCCCAGTGTGTGCACACCACCTGGAGAGGCTCATACGGCTCCCAGCTCTGGGCTCCAGGTGCATCCATGTGAGGTCTGTGGCCCCATGAGCTGCTCTCGCTGGGTGCAGCATTTTCAGCCCTTCAGCTGCTTCCTTCCCTGCACAGCCCCCTGGAAAGGGGCTGGGTTCTCCTGGCTGTCTCCTTGCCCCAGTCTGCAAGGAAGAACAGCTGACAGTTGCCCTGCTAAATCCAAATTTCAGCCCAGGAAGGACATCCTGATTTTCTGCCAGGGAAACCCAATCTTACAATAAAACTGAGTTGGCTCCTTCCTCCTTACCCACTGGATGCAGAGGTCCAGCTCCAGGCTGGCCAAGCACCACCAGCTGGAGCTGAGTCCCCATCGCTGGAGGGGTTCAAAAGATGTGTGGGTGTGGAACCTGGGGACACCATTTAGTGGTGGCCTTGGCAGTGCCGGAGGAATGCTTGGACTCAGTGATTTTAGAGGGCTTTTCCAACCTTCACAATTCCATGATTCCATATCTGCATGGTTCCTGCAGCACTCGCAAGCCTGACCTTAAGTTAGAGTGGCAAAGAGCTCCACTGGTGCTGCCACTGCTCCTCACTGCCCTCAGGCATTAAGCATCATTCCAAAATTAATAAAATGTTGATTTTTAAAAGATTACAAAGTTCTCCAAGCTAAAGAAAAGGTTAATGCACTTCTCCATAGTCATACAACTTTAATGTCTGCTGTCATAAAGAGCTGATTTTTTCTCCCATTTAAAAGGAGAATTTACATCATGAACAGAAATCCAGTAACAGGGACACAAACAGAAGCGCAGGGATAAGGTGCCAAATTTGGAGGTATGTCTGGGGCTTGATAAACCACTGCAGGCTTAACACAGCCAAAACAAGGCCAGATCCCCGACTGGGACTGTGGGACAGGCCAGACCTGGTGCCTCCCCTGGGGGAGGGAGATCCCTGCGCCCGGTGGAGATCCCACATTTGGGATTTGGAGCTCCCAGGCTCCATTCCTGCTGTTACCTGGCTGCAGCGTTGGTTCCGAGCTCACCATGGGGAATCAGCCCTCTGAATATTCAGCACCAGCAGCTCCAGGGCTGCCCAGAGCCAGGGATTTGCTGGGAAATGGAAGCTTTTTCCACTCCTTTCCAAAATTCAGATCAATGCACTGTGCTGTCTCTGGAGCCTGAGGCTGGTTTGACCTGAGTGTGTGTTTTGCCTCAGCTTTAATTAAACAAACACATTCCAGTTTTTATTTTGGAAGCTAATTGTGCTGTTTTAAGGAATTCAAATCCCCCTTTTTCCAGCCCCCAATTCCCAATGCTTCATGCTGTAAGGAGGGAATTGAACCCTCAGCTGTTTTCTGTCACCTAGCATGGGCATCCCTCCCTCCTGTCACATTCCTGTGGTTTGGCAGCCCAGGGCCTGGCACGGTGGGTTTTGGGACTGGGGAGATGCAATGCTGGCTCTGGAGAGCAGGATGCTGGAGATGTGGCATTTTTGGGGCTGTGGGCTCACCCTTGGAGCCCTTTAGCCCTTCTGGTCCCTGGATTTAACCCCAGCAGGGGGATTTCAGCACTGACACTTGCCAAGGGGCGCTGGGCAACTTGATTAATGTTTGCAGAGCTCTGGGCAGAGAGTGCCGTGTGTGTGAACATTTTATCATATTCCAGTTAGGCCACAGCCCCCCTGGACATCCTGGCACTGCCACATCAGCCACATCCATGGCTGCACAGAGCTTCCTTTGGCATCTCAGCCACCCTACCACCACCAAAGGCTGAGGAGGAAAAATCAAAACCCCAGCCTGTGGAGATTTCTGGTGCTCGGAAGCCACAATCCCAACACCGCTTTTTGGCATGGAAGATCTCTCTTTACAGACTTGCTGTGCGCCACTCTTTTCTTTATGGAGCCACAGAAGTGTCTGTAATGAGAGATTAAAATAGTAGTCGTGCCCCGTGATTTATTTTTGAAGTTCTCGCATCTCCGCACGTGTAAACACCCCGGGCTGCGGGATAAATAACGCAGCGCAATATATTAACGGGGGAGGACACAGAGATGGAGAAGGGGGAAGGCATTTGCTGGGTGGTAAGTTATGGGGCCTTTGGAGGCAGGGCAGGGGGAGGCTGAGCACGGGGAGGGTTCGCTCCTGCCTTCCCCCCACCGATAAATCAGCAGTCTCGCGGTGCTGGAATAAAATATGCCGGGTCCCTGTGGCGGGGTGACACGCGGCGCGGGAGCGCGGGCCACGCACGCTGACTGCAAATGGGGTGGGCCATCAGACGCCGCCATAAAACACCCCCTCGCCTCCCCCAGCTGATTATCAACTTCATGCATAGCAAATGACAGAGCAGGAGCGCCGGCGGCGCCTCCACCGCTCTGCCCGAGGTAAAAAAAAAAAAAAAAAAATATTTACAGACTGACAGGCTAATGGACACTTTGCCAAAGAGCCGTTCGAAAGAAGTAGTAAATGGGCCCGTGCTGATGCAGGGCAGCGGGCCCGGTCAGGGATCAGGACACACGGCACCAGATCGGATAACATCTAATTGGCAGGTCACATCCAAATGAGTGTAGTCATGCATCATCCGGAAGGCTTTCTGCTGGTTATAAAGACACTTGTAAACAATTCAGCCGCTGAACATGGCAATAATATGTTGATCCGGCATGTAATGAGGTGTTCCTGGAATCAATAAACTAGTCATGAAGAGCAGGGAGCAAGGTCAGCACCTGCCTTTTTGATGACCTTTGCTGGCTGGTGAGGACATCATATACTCTGAAGAGGACTTTTCTCATATTGCAGAAGGCGCCGAGTGTCAGAACTTCCATTCGCAGCAAGCAAATGAACAGCCGGGCTCTGCATGCTAATGAAGTCCAGGCTATTTTCCACCTTTTCATCTGCACATTATGCTCTTGACTTTGGAGAAGGTGGGAATTAGGTTGGACCCTCGTGTCAGACTGCCTGATGGCTCGGCTCCGGAAAACTGGTAATTGAAGCTGATGACTGATGCGGAGGAGGCCTGAATTTGGAAATAAACAGTTTCAAGCACTGCATGTCATTTCTAGAGAGACTGCTGAGTGAATGGAAATGAGCTCTGTTTCGCCGATCTAATGCAGTTTCTCAGCAGGAAAAACACTGTCTTTGAGACAACAATGCCAATCAGTGAGATTTAAATGTCCTGGCGATAATGTAAGGAATAGCACCTGCCTCGGCAAACAGCACTTAGGGAAATGCTGCCCCGTGCTGGGGCCTGAGACTTGTGTCCAACCCCCAGCTCCAGGCTGGAGGAGCTGGGATGCTGTGAGGCCAGCAGCAGGGACTGGTCCTTGCCACAGAAAAGCCACTGGTGACACTGAGGAACGTGGCTTTTGAGCGACCTTAACTGAATGCAGTGCTCTCTGTGCCACATCTGCTCCTCCCTGGCACACTGAGGAGAAATCCTGCTGGCCTCATCCCCACCATTCCTCTCCTTACCTCCTCCAGTCCAGCTGCTGGCCCCACAGGGATTAAAAATGGGTTTTCTAGACAAAGCACCCAAAGGCCAGTAGGTTCAGTCTCAACTCTGAACATCCCAGCAGCTGGAAACAACATGGCAGATGTTATAAACCCTCCCCAAGTCCTGCTTGGGGGTGTGGAATGGGGCACAGCCACCCGTGTGCTGGGGCAGAAGCAGTCTCGCTGAGGCTTCCAGGGCTTTGAGGTGTTTTCCTTCAGACACAGAATCCTGGCTTGGAAAGACCTTAGAGTGCATCTCATCCTACCCCCTGCCATGGGCAGGGACACCTCTCACTATCCCAGGTTGCTCCAAGTTGGCCTGGAATGCTCCCAGGGATCCAGGGGCATCCACAGCTTCTCTGGGCCCCGTGTATCCCTTGCAGGTCCCCCCAGGCACAGGCAGGACCGTGACTCACCTGCCCCACGTTTCTCCAGCAGCCAGGCACCCACAGCTCCATGCTGGAGGTACAAAGTGGGGTGAGCTGCAGGCTGGGGCTCCCCAGAATCCCCCATGTCCCCGAGCAGAGGGGTCAGTGTCCCCCCAGGCCACCACATCCCGCTCCCCGCTGCCGAGAGCCGCCGGCTGTCCCCTCCCTGGAGGTGGCTGCAGCAGGAGCGGGTGTGTTTGTGTAATAGTTTGCAACCCTTCAACATGAAAGGATGGAGACGGATGCGAGTTATTATTATGAAAATGAACCGAGCAACAGACAAAAATATTCAGGAGATGTAATCTGCTTCCCTACAATGCGCTCGCGGAGAAGAGCACTTGGCAGACAGGAGAGTCGCCGTCAGATACATTGCCTTTTGTTAAATTGCTTTTGCTCTGACAATGCCTTTTAAAACCACATGCAATCTTAATTTAAAATACCCAATACCTCAAGGTATAGGGGCCCAGTGCTGGTCTCCAGCTTGGGATTTGTCCAAAACTATTCCTTCAGCTTAATACCGCTATTCCTTGTTTTAATTACACAACAAATGTGGGAGCCTGAATTTGCTTGTAGGAATCCATCACTAAAAACTAATGGGGCACGGGTTGATTCCCCTGCCTGCCACCTCAGTGTTGCTCAAATCCCCAGAAGGTTTGCCCAAGGTTTCCCTGAGGGGCAGCTTTGACATGCATGATGGTCGGAAAGTAAAGCTCAGCTTTTTCATCCTTTTAGGAAATGGTTAATGGTGAGGAAATGCCAAATGTGGCAGGGCAAGACACTATTGCATTTTTATTTTCACAGAGAGAGTGGTGGGGAAAAACCCCCAAACAAACCAAGCAGCACTTGCAGTTTGCTGCTCCTGCTCTTGCCCTACTCTTGGCCTGGCAGGCCATGTGTCACTCCCAGCATGGAGCATGAGGCTTCCATGAACTGAGGCTTTGGCTGTGGGTGCCAGCTCGGCACTGCTTCACTCAGCAGGCAGTAGAACACCCCACCACTCCCTCATAGGCCCCTGGGTGCCAGATTTATCCTCTGTCCATGGGAGCTGAGAGCCTCGAAGCGCGTGGTGGCATTCTGAGGCCATCCTGAGGAAGGGCAGGTGTGTGTCCAGGCACGATGCTGGCTCCAGGCTCAGCCCATCCATCAGAGCTCCTCCGGCCTCCCACCTCCACAGATAACCTCCTTCCCTATGCTAATTCCCTCAGAACATTATGCAGACTGTTTATATTTCTCTACAGCCAGAACAGGCTGCTGACACAAATCAGCCATTAGCCATTCACACTGAGGAGTCTCCGCTAATTGTGCAGAATGTAATTAGTGATTATGTAATATCTAAGCTCTTGCAACTGTCATTAATGTCCACTATTCACCAGAGATGGTTCTTACTGAATTAGGGAATGATTACTGCATGCTAAATCTACTTAATCCTAAATATGCTAATTAACACCGCCTGCACTTTAGACAGTGGTTAAAAGCACTAGTCACCTCAAAAAAAGGCTCTGATACACCAGAACCCAAATTGCCTGCGAAGGATTTTCCCTCAAAAGGTAAATTTGTTTAATAAAATGCTGTAGTAAACTGTTGGGCACAGCCCTTGATTAGTGCAGCCCAAGGAGGGGCCTTCTGGAATGATCTTGTGAGGTGCCACCGCAGGGCAGCCATGTCCTGGAGCATCCCAGGCCTCCTGCAGCATCCCAGGTCTCCTGCAGCATCCTGGTCCACAGGATGGACAGCACAGCCTTTCCCCCACACCTGCCAGTGCTCCCCAACAGGCCTGACATGAGCAGAGCCCAATTTAAAACAGTATTCCAAAGGCTGTCCCTCCAGGATTAACCACCCCACTCCTCAAGTCATAAACAACAATATTCCTACAGGCAGATATAGGAGCTTCCCCTCAATAAATTCTGGCTTAAATTCTAATTTGAAGATCAATTGTGTAATTTTAAGATTGATTGTGCAGAACAGACTTCAAATATGAAATGCTAAAGGAATGGGATAAACAGAGCAATTGTACAGGTTTGAAAGGTCCCTTTCAAAGGCCTGGGGTGTTTAATGTATTCTGGGTTTCTGTAGGAAAAAAAAAAGATATGGCTGTCATGAACCCCAGGATAATAGCAGCCTGTGATTTATGAAGATTCCTCCTGCTTATATATTTTAGATAAATAATGCCCCTGTGTGTCTCTCTGCACTCATTCATAACCAAAAGCTGCCCGGGCTTGTGCAGGAACCTTTGGAATCAGCTCAGAGGGATGGGATAACTCAGGGATCAGACACTGAATAAGTCACGCTGTGACAAGGCCAGGGGTGCCCTGGGCAGAGCCACAGAGAATGGGCACATCCAGAGCCAGAGGTGTGCTCCACACAGGAGCAGAGCCAGAGGTGTATTCCACATAGAAGCAAACCTGGCTCAGGGGGCAAACACGGCCCAGGGACCTCGGCTTGCCCGCCACTGCAATCACCAGCGCCACGGAAATGAAAGAATTAGCCACACAATGAACCCCTAATTGCCTGGCAACAGCATTTAGGCCCCATTAGGTAGATTTGTAACTGCTTCCAGAGAAATAAACTCCTGTGTCATTAGATAACAAGGGAAGAAATAGGTTATTTCCTTTTTGAAAGGTATGAAAGCTTCCAATTGCCTGATGTACGTGCTCAGTAGATTATTTTCTGTCATCTCAGTTAATTGAATTTTACCCATTGCTCTTAGAATTCCTCCCTTTCGTGTAAAGGTTAAAAAGTTCAGAGGAGTCATATTTTTGAGCGGCGTCCATTTATCGCACGAGCCAACCCCAGCTGCACAAAGCGCGCCAGGAACAGGGAGCAGCGGCCAGCAGTGAGGGGATGGCTGCAGCATCTGGCTGGGCTGGCCTGGGATCATGGAAAAACGTCACTTGTCAGGCAGCCTCCAGCTGGGACACTGTCTGGAGCCACAGGAAGGGACCTGCTGCGAGCTCCGTGGCTGCTGTGCGGTCATTGTGCATCCTCCCCTGCAAAACCAAACTGGACAGCCAGAGTTAAACTAATTGCTCAGACTGTTAGGGTGCCAGCTGGGATGGAGTGCCACGGGCATGGGAGGAGCCTGTTATTCCAGCCCTGCTCCAGTGGTGGCTCTGTCACCCTGTGTCACTCTGCCTGCCATCGCTGGAGGTGCCCAGCCCTCACCCTCAAACAGCCCCGTCATTTCTGTCTTCCAAAGCAAATCTAGGCAGACATCCTTGATTTCTGAGTAAATCCAGAGCATGTGTCATACCTCTCATCATCACTCTTAAACCTCACCAGTTCCCCCCAGTCACTCCTGAGAGGCAGCAGCACTTCACATCCCCAGCAGTGCTGCCGTGGGGAGCTGAAAGCCAAACTTAAACTTCTGTAGGGAGCTCTGGTTTGATGTTGTGGGACATTTGCTTTGCAGACCAGCACCTCCCAGAACGAAAGGGCTGGCTTGGCCACAGAAATATTACCGAAACCATCATCTGGTGACTCCAGAGCCACTTAATTTTAAACCCTCCTGAAAAGCCAGCTCCATTTTCTGCTTTGGTGGAGACCAATTCCCCGCGCTGGCGTAGGAGAATAGATCAGCCCTGGCAGCGGGGCGTTGTTATCCAGCTCCCAACTATTATGACATAGTTTCTATCAGAGCAGTTTTCTTCTGAGCCAGTCGAGTGGAATGATCCCTGAAAGCCGCGGTTTGCGGCAGGGATGCGCTCGGCGCTGTCAGAAATCCGCGGCTGCCCACACGCAGGCCAGCAGCCGGAAAACAAGGCCGTGCCAAAGGGCCTGCAAAGGCACTGGGCAGGGGGCAAGCAGCAAAAAAACTCCAAGGATGGGAGGAAGAAAAATAAGTATGGAGAGATGAGTAATGTGGAGCAGCCAGGCCCAAGGAATGCTCCTTCCCCAAGTCTCTGAGGTGCTGCGTGTGTTGGGAGCTGGGTGTGCCTCCTCCATCCTGCCAGCCCAGCTTGGGGACAGGGAAACCTCCTCAACACCACAGGGGAATCTCAAACCTCGGGACTGGAGGGGTCTGGCACTGCTCCTTTTCCCCAGGAATGAGGGATTCAGGACTGGGAGGCCTGCTTTAGAGAGCTGGATACCAATCCGG